GTCTAGGACTATTTTGTGTCTATTATGAAATACACAGCTGGTGTCTAGAGCAATTCGCTCTTACTTTCAAAGGACAGAATCGTGCTTTGTCATTTTGTTGTTTTTCATGGAAAGGTTACCCTCAGAAGAAGAGCAATATATGTCAGGATGAAATTTTCTTCCTTCGCCACCATCTCCTTTCCTTTACCCTACTGAGCAGAAGGTTTTTGACAGAATGAAGAGACAGACACTTTGTTAATATAATAACAAATCACAGTTAGACAATGGATGGTGGTCAATATGCATGGGAGGAAGATTTATTTGCTTGTGGTTGCTCCACTTGAAGTAGAACCCTAAAGTAAAAGCTGAAGGGCAGAAGAGATCAAAGAGGAGACAGTAGAAGGGGAACAGAAGAAAACATGGAAGTTCTAAATATGTATCCAAGGTGGACTTTCAGCAGACTGATGAGAGACTTGATAAAAAAGTTAAGGAACATTATTCCTGTTCTCTGAACTTTCTGAGTCTACATTTAATCACCATAAAGTGTTCTGAAAATACACAATGCCTTCATTCCCTCCCAGACATTCCACAGAAAACCAAATTGTTGAAACAGAACAGCTGCATACCTTTCTAAAACCACCCTTGGAATCACATCGTTTAGGGTCACAAGTTGATCTTGAAGGAGACACATGTCCATGGTAGCTGCTGCTAGGCAATAGCAGCACATTTAAGGATCAGTCTTCATAAGTCATAAAAGGTTCTGGGTTGAACTGGGCCAGCTGGGTGATAGACGTGCGCTGGATGGACTGAGTGAGACTAATTTATCTTTATAGTAGAGGGTGTGGTACATGGTAGCTGAGAGATCAGAGGGAGTTTTGAATGAATAAATGAATAAACTAGTTTCTCCACATGCTATGTTTCTGGGTCTTGTCTCTTCTTCAGAAAAAAGAGAAGGAAGCTATATTTTATTCTGGATGAAATATTCTGAAAATAGAGAATTCAGCTTTTGAGGTTTTGGTAATTTTTCTTAAGCATGCCCTTCTTTTGTCTCCTAGACCATGACATTGTTCTTTTGACAACAGCTTAGAACTTTTCCTGATAAATTGTGTTAAAGACTAACTCAGTTATAGAGGTAATTGGGTGAAAGGATTTTGCAAAGTTGAGATAATATCCTCCAGGATGTGGTATGTGTATTTCAAATTAGTATCAAATGCACCATGCTACTGTGCTGTTTTCCCCCAGTTCCAAGGATTAAGGGTTAGAAGAGGGAAGGGCACTCTTTATCACCTCTGATGATTTACTGGTGATTTTTTTTCATCTTCTCCCTACAACTTTGGACTCTGCTGGCTTAGAGATCTTCATTCCCAAGTGACAAATGTTTCCGCTAGGGGGGAAGAAAATCATGGTTCCTTTCAACTAAAAGCTGAGAGTGCAGCCTTGGCATTTAAAATCAACAGATCACAGAGAGGTTTACTGTTCTGATGGAGCACAGGTGGGACGCTGTGGGAGGGAAGGTTTTTGCCATGGGACTGTCAGGCACACTTAGATCCTTGGTCCCTGGACACTTGAGTACCAGCAGAAACTTCTGTTCATCTGCTCAGCATCAAAATATGTCCCTCCATCTCCCCAAATGCTATTTAGGGGTAGGGAACAGCTGTCCCTGCTTGAGAAGCACTTCTCATGCGTGCATCATTTTAAAGTGACAATGTTCATTTTATAAAATTGAGTTATTGACCACTATATTTTGTAAGATGTTTCCTGAGTCAAAGGAAAAAATTACAGGTATGATTTTCTTTCTTTTAATCAGTCTCTATTTTTTACTAAGTGTTTTAGTTTTAAACTATTTATGCATTTTAAAATATGACCACAAATTTTAAGTAATCAGGTTGGGTGAAGCCAATAGCTTTAAACTTGTCTAGATTTGGCAGTTTCTAAATTGTGGATTCCATGGCACCATAGCTCATTTAATAGAAAGGAAGTTGCAATGGCGTACTTTTTTTTTTTTTTAACTTTAGTCTTTGTATTGAAAGAAATATTTTTATTAGAAGAAGTGCACGGCTGAACAGACAGATGTATTACACTGGCCTTTGCATAGTAAGCTCAGGTACTAAATTAAACTTAATTTGTGCCAGTGGGGATTGCATCAGCTGGTTAAACACACACACACACACACACACACACACACACACACACACACACCTCTGGTGATTCTTACTTTCTGTCTTCTTGTTTTTCATCATAGTGTTTATTATAGCAACAGCTGCAAAATACTTCCAGAGGATTCATTTTGGTGTCAGGTAACACCTTTTAAAATAAGCTCCTTTCAGCTGAACATGTTTTCTGGGAAGATTCCCAGCCTTCGTTCTTTCCTTGGTCAGTGGTTGTCACCTGAGAGAGTTTCCATCACACTTAGAAGGTTGGCTAAGTCAGCTTACTTATCAAAGGGTTGATTGCCTTAATTCAGGGGCAAGAATACTGACTTGAAGGATGAGAAGTCCAAGAAAGTATTTCAAAGAACTTAGAAGTTTTCCCCAGTGTTAACTTTCAGTGGTCCTAGATTTAATTTCTATTCCTACAGTTTCCAGCACAAATCTAGTGGAGTTACTTTTCCAGAGCTCTTCAACCATGCAGCAGGCCCCATGGAGACAGAGCTTGGCTTCAGGCACTGCCTGCGTGTCTCCTGAGAAGCTTTCCTTCTTCATTCAGTGGACCCCATCCTACCTCTTGCCTTCCAAGAATTCAGGTTTGAAGTATACAAGTCTTTGAAACCATGTATGGCTTCGATCCAGAGGAGCTTAGCGTTCTAAGTTCTCTAATTCTTCATTAGGCAGCTGTGACTTGCCCGAGGTTAGAAAGCTCAGTGGCAGAGCTGGGATGCATATTTGTGTCTCCCGATCCCAGCTCAGGGCTCTCTGCCTTGAGCCAGGGAGCCTGGCATCAAATGATTCTAGTCTCACAGGGTTTGTGTACATCTCTAGAGGCAACTTTCTCTTTGGTAAGATTTTAAGTTTAGCTTCTCTTTCAGCTGTAAAATCTTTACACTGAGTAACAGGGGTCTGTGGATGCTATTGCTTCATTAACCTGGTAAGTGCAGGTGGTAGCAACCCCAGTTCTGGGAAGCCTAGAAGGTCAAATATGATGCCACTTTCAGGAAGAGATGTGCATGGCCTCAGTGGGGCTAAGTCAGCCATTTGCCAAAAGGATGTGGATTCTTGGTCTCCAATTCTTTGAGTCTGGAATGGCTAAATCTAGTGATGAGAGGAGAAACACATATTTAATTAGCAAATGTTATCTTCTGGTTTCCATAATGGCTAAAGCTGGGGCTTTGGAGGCAGAGGCCCAATTCAACCAATTGTTAGTTTTTAAACCTTGGCCAAGTTTTCTAACATCTCTCCTTTAGTTTACATATCTGTAAAATGGAGCTGCTACTGCTATTGCTTACCTATAAAGGTTGTTATTCAGATGAAATAAATTAATGTGTACAAAGCACTTAGGACAATGTCTGGTATCTAGTAGGTGCTATATAGTGGTTGCTACTACTGTGCAAATTAAAAATGAATTCACACATGTTTTACCAGAATGAAAAGATGAGCATTGTGTTAGAATGGTTACCTATGAGGATATAAGGGAATTAAAAACAAAACAAACCTCCAAAACCCATGCAAGGGATTCTAGAGCCCATATATTTAATCACTAAACATTATTTCCTATTAACCCATTGCCACCATAAATCAATTGAAGTTAAAGCAATGTATACCAAGGCATCAAGGGTTTGCGCAGAGGCAGGAGGAGCTCTTAGAAGATGGTCTCTGGTATCAGATGTGACTTTGAATGTTTATGGCCTTTTTCATTCCCAGACCTCATGATCTGCAGACTGACCATAATTCACATTATTTGAAGATCCTGCCAGATCCTACTAGTCACACCAGGCTTTTCAGGGCAGCTTTGAGAGATGTGTTTTCCAACTGCAGAAAGCATTGTCTCTTATGTTTGGCGTGCAGCTTCAAAAACTTCAACAAGGTTTATACAGGGAAGCATCAAAGGTCCAATTGTGAGAAATTAAAATAAGATTTTAATGGGGCCAGGGATGTAAACTCAAGGTCCTGAGTTTAATCCCTGGTACTGGAAAAAAAAATGAAACAAAAAATTTAAATGCTCCAAAATACAGGATTGGTTAAATTAATTGTGCACATCCATATAACAGAATGTGGGTAGCCCTGTAAGATACTACTGTGGAATAAAATTAATGACCTAGAAAAATACTCATAATGTATTATTATTTTAAAATATGCCACAATGTTATGAAGAATGAATACATATACAGATATATATAATACATACATGCACAGAAAAATGGCAGGCAGGGTATGTGTACATCATAATACTAATAGGAGTCATCTTGGGTAGGGTGATTGAGGAAGAGTCTTAACTTTGTTCTATTTCATCTATAATTTCAATTTTTTTCTAGAGTAAGGCTATATGAATTTTTAAAGGAAAGATAATTTATTAAAAACAGTGGGCCCCTATAGTGAAGAGTTTTGTTTGTGCTCTTCTCCACTCCTATAATCAATTTAGAAATCATCTCCTTTCCAGCTGCTTGGCTGATGCAATGGCTTCTACCTTTGTGCACAGGTGACTGCTCTTGTCCACAGTCCTCACAGTGTGGATCCCATCGCTACGACTGCTGGGTACTTAGCCAGTTTTTCCCTGGCATAGAGCCTAGTACATGAGTAAGTTTTAAATAAACGAGCAAGTTTGAAATGAATGAATGAATGAATAAATAAATAAATAAATTTGTATGGGGTCAGCCGCTTGGATTTGGATAGGAGCGCTGCCATTTATCTGCTGCGTGAACCTATGCTCTGGATCAGCACATTGGTTATCGTCACTGTGGCTTAAGAGACCACAAGTATGTTTTCAAAATGTCAGTGCATCAGTCACAAGGTGAGTGGGAGTGCAGAAGGAGAGTTTATTATTACTGCTCTATCTACTGACAAGTCTACATGTTCCCATCCCTTATTTCTCCGTGGCTCTCTAAGGCATCATGGTTGCCATAGCAGCCAGATGCTGATGATGCCTCCAGAGGGTAGCAAGATGAAATTGAGCCAGCTCTCAAGTCCTCGCTTCTCCATGCCCTTTCAAGGCCAGAGAGAGATGGTCTGAAGCTTAGCTTCCTGGCGAGCCCCCCATTCTGTCTTAGATCACTTAGGCTCACACAACCTGCCTCTGCACCCCAGTTGAGGGCCCCGAAGCACCCCTTTGGAGACTTCCTCCTCTCCAAGCTCTGTCTCCTGGCACCTTGCCTGGTTGCCTTGGAAACAGGTTCCACTGCGGACAAAGGAGGGAGCTGGGTCCTGCTTCCTCTTGGTCCTGTCGATGAGGATTTTTAGACCGTGGAGACTGCGCTGCCCTGCCCTGCATCTGCCCTCACTCCCCACATTCTCGTTTAAGCGGAGCTTGCCCACCTTCACCCCCGACGAGGACATGTGTAAAAGTGTGACCACAGGGGAGTGGAAGAAAGTCTTCTATGAGAAGATGGAAGAGGCAAAGCCAGCTGACAGCTGGGACTTCATCATAGACCCCAACCTCAAGCACAATGTGCTGGCCCCCGGCTGGAAGCAGTACTTGGAGCTGCACGCCTCAGGCAGGTGAGTAGACCAAGAAGCTGGGGTCTTACTGGGCCTCCAAGGCTGGGTAGTTCCTAAGGACAGACAGGGACCCGCTGAACCCAAGTGCTCAACTTCAACCTCAGTGATAGGCTGGTGTTGACAAGGAAGCAGAGAGAATCCCCGACAGGAAGCTGGGTGCCTGAGGTGAACTCTAGCTCTTCCCCCATTACCCATGTAACTTTCCTCCTCATAGCTTTCCCACCCAGAGATGAAAGAGGCAGAACACATTTGTTGCTCCTTGACTCTGATATTTTACACATTTTTAGATTCTAATTATCTCCCCGAATAGTAGAAAACTGAGAAATAGTGAGCTTGAGGTCCACCGGAGATCAGGAAATCTTCTCCTTGATCCAGGAGCAATTCAGTTTGTATCTATTTAATTCAGCTTGATTTGATTTAAAATATTGAATATATGAGGTACCTTAGAGACTGGCTGTACTAGCAGGTCTATAGCCCCTGAGCAATTCTGTTTCTTGCTTGGATTTCACTTTTCTTGCTTGCAAAAATGAAGGGTTAGTCTACATCACTGATGGCAAACCTTTTACAGCTGTCACTGATACAAACAGCCTGCTGAGGCACGCAGGCCATAGGTTCTCACCGCTTGTCCTATGGTCCAGTGAACAACTTCCTCATTATATGTAGAACTTACTGGAAACGTAGAACTTTGGGCCCTATTTTAGACCTGAATCTGAATCTGTATTTTGAGAAGGTCTCTTGGTCATTTGTATACACAATATCTGAGACAACTTTCTAGCACTCTTCTCCCTGGCTCTACAGCTCTGTGACTTCCCTTTGGGACATGAATTTTGAGGTTGAGTGGCGCAGTCTGGGGGCAGAAGCAAGGGCTTCCTGCTCGTCTTGATCAATCAGCTCAGTTCAATCCAATTCAGTCCAGGTTCAGGAAACATTGCTGGGTACCTGCTACATGCAGGGCACTAGCTCTCCCTTCCATGAGCTGTGTATATGCAGATCGCTTTCTTACTTCTTGAGTCTCAGAGGTGAAGAAAAGATTAGCTCAGTGATTTCTAAGCACCCCCTCTCAGTTCTGGCATTTTTAAATCTGGTTTTGTGGTTTTGTCGTCAGGTATGAGAGTGAAACAGTCCCCAAAGAATGTAAACAATTGAAAATGCACCAAATTGGCTGCTGGGAGATGGGCCACTTGCCTGAGGGGCCCAAGAGCTTCTGAAAGACCTGGAAGGCTCACGGGGTGGATTGGGGAGGGCTTGTAGCTTCCTTACACCTGGCTGGTACCTGGAAAACTACAGCTCGGGGGTGTGGGTCACTCTGGGCACAAACCACCTCCATTTCTAGGCCTAGGGATGCATTCTCCTGGGCACTGGCCTGAGACTGACGTGTGATGACAGGGTCACTTCCTCCCATTGGATTGAGCCTGCTCACAAGGAGAGTGGACAGACAGGAGTGTGAAGGTGGACTGTGTGATTCCTGTCTGGCCAGGGCCGTCCCTGCTCTTAGACTCTCAGGCAGACCTCACCTACTGCATGAGTGCATGCTGCAGGCAGGAAGGGCCCAGGCCTGAGACCTGATGGCACGGAATGGAGGCAGCTGGGGCCTCTGGAAAGCACCCAGGAAGCAGAGCACAGCTCCAGGAGCCTGCTCTGCTCCAGTTCCCGGAACAGTCACAACGGACAGGCAGGGCGACCTCCTGGGCAAAGCCAAGGAACCCAGCGAGCTGTGGACAGAGCACCTCCAGGCCCTGCCTCGGTCCACAGGCCCTCAAGGCCTCTCCAGACCCGATTTCACCACCCCCATGCTCCTTCTTCTTTTCCCTTCCCCACCCCACAGGTTCCACTGCTCCTGGTGCTGGCACACCTGGCAGTCGCCCCACGTGGTCATCCTCTTCCACATGTACCTGGACCGCACCCAACACGCAGGCTCCGTGCGCATGCGCGTCTTCAAGCAGCTGTGCTACGAGTGCGGCACGGCGCGGCTGGACGAGTCGAGCATGCTGGAGGAGAACATCGAGAGCCTGGTGGACAACCTCATCACCAGCCTGCGTGAGCAGTGCTACGGGGAGCGCGGTGGGCAGTACCGCATCCACGTGGCCAGCCGCCGGGATACCCGGCGACACCGCGGCGAGTTCTGCGAGGCCTGCCAGGAAGGCATCGTGCACTGGAAGCCCAGCGAGAAGCTGCTGGAGGAGGAGGCCACCACCTACACCTTCTCCCGCGCGCCCAGCCCCACCAAGCCGCAAGCCGAGGAGGGCTCAGGCTGCAACTTCTTCTCCATCCCCTGGTGCTTGTTTTGGGCCACGGTCCTGCTGCTGATCATCTACCTACAGTTCTCCTTCCGCAGCTCCGTCTAAGATTCCCTTGGGGTGGGGGCGAGGCTTGGGGGTGGAGGACCGTCAGCCCCTGGGATTGGGTGAGAAGAGACCAGGGCTGGGAATGGGGTCAAGCTTTGACCCTAGGACGCCGGGCACTGACGCAGTGGGGACCCTGGAGTTAAGTTACTTGGCTGGGTCATTGTTTTTTAAGGGGAGGGGGGTTCGGGACTCCAGAGTTCTACATAGGTGCCTTAGGGACTTTGGGTTTGGAAGGTAGACTGAGTGGGTTTCCCTGCTGGTCCCACAGCCCGTCCCCAACTCTTACCTCTTCCTCTTGCTGCAATCAGAAGAGGGCTCCCTCAGATGAGTTCCATACAAGATTTCGCATGAAGAAAGATTTAACTACTTTGAAATTTGCAAGACTAGGTGATAGCAAAAGGCTTTTCAGTAACTATGAGCTTATCCTTGCTTTCTGACTACTTTTCTGCCCCCTGACCCTCATTACCTTTGCATCTTTTAACTGCAGCCTTACATTAACCTCTTTGCCTGCTGCATGAGCCTCACCCTGGCTCTACCTCACCCTATGGCAGATTTCTCTTGAAGGGAAAAGGACAGGGGTTCTAGGCTGCTCCTTGCTGCTGGGTCCATGGGGTCCCCAGCTTCTGTTTTCCAGTTTCTCCTGCTTCTGGCAGATCCTGGAGTTGGCCTGGCTGAAAGATGGTGGTTGGGGTGGAGTCCCACAGAGAGCAAGGCTTTCGGCTCACTGCAAGTGAGCTGGTGCACAATTTAGGGGAAGTTTATAAGACAGAGTTTTAAAAGCAGAGCATTAGAGAAACACATATAACAACTTCCCATTATAAGGGAAAGTTTAGGACACAGAAAGGTGCAAGGGCCTGGCCTCCTGAGTTTCTGCTGAAATAATACTTCAGTGACTTTCCCGCATCGGCCATCAAGGGCCCTCTTGGCAGAGATTGTCTATCCACAGAGACCACAGGGGTGGAGTGCTTCAGGTTAAAGATCTGAAATGAAAAGTCCGTGGAGAATCTCACACTGCTTTAAAATGGGATGCAATGGTGTCTAGAGTGGCAGGAAAGAGACTTCCTGACAGTCAGGTATGGAATGCAGTTCATAAGGAGAAACAGGAAGCAGATGGTGGGATGCCCTCCTGAACGTTTGAGGGACCTCGTTTACCCCACTTCTGTTAATTTGACTCCTCTTCTCCTTCCCTCGTGACTCTACTAGAAAGTCATTATCTGTAGGGTTGGGAGAAGAGTGTCACTTCCATAAAGGTGGGATACTTGAAGTATATCTTCAGTTGGCTTTAGAAGTCATTCATACATATTTGAGACTTCCTGAGTTGTCTCTGATCTGTAATGAGCCATTGGTTCCCCCTCTCCCACTACACTATTTCCTTTCTCCTCATTCTGTTGCCCCCAATTAGGTTCTTTTTAGGTCCAGCTCTGGGCCGGTCCTGTCCGTAGTGTGGAGGGGCCTAGGGGATTAGCAGAAGGTCAACTGTCTTACTCTTGGTCCCTAATACTAGTAACTAGTTGTGACTTTCTTCACTTCCTTCATGCAGTATTCATTTCTTTACCCTATCTACATGACCTGATACCTATTCTCTAGCAAGTTTTGATTTAGGTGTTGGATATAGTAGGCACCTGGGATAGGCCCTGTCTCTCAGAGAGCCCTGCTTACTGTAAAGGTTCTCAGCCCTGACTGCACTTCAGAAATCTCAGGGAACTTTTAAAGGAATGTCAGTGCTCAGCCTGCTGTGCTGACCAATAGAATCAGAATTTATGAGACTGGGCCTGAGCATCTGAATAGAGCACCTAGTGGTCCTTCTGTGCTCCCTGGAATGATACCTCCCTCCTGGGCCTTCCTTTGGCTTTTTGAGACAGAGTCTCACTATGTAGTTGAGATTGACTTGGAACTCACTATGTAGTCCAGGCTGTTCTCGAACTCACAGTGATCCTCCTGTGAGTTCGAGTGCTCCTGAGTGCTGGGATTACAGGCATGCTCCACCATGCCTGGCCCCGGGCCTTCCTTTTACATAGTGCTAGTGTTAATGACCTGCCCTGGATTCTCTAGGACTGTGACTCACATTCCATTCTCTCTTTCCGGTCCCTACTTTGCTCTCCCTCTGTGCCCGGGGGACTCAATCCTCCACCTCCAGCCCCTGCTCTTAGAGATCTGCTGCTATGATGACTTATCCCACTCTGAGTCTGCGTTGCTGAGTTTTGCGATCCTAACAGTTTGTTATAATTACTCAACTATGGCTATTCTCCCTGCTAGATGTGAGCTCCAGGCAGCATGTACTCCATGTATTTTATTTACCTCCAACGAACACATACCACGTGCTCACTAAAAAATTGTGGAATGTATAAATGAGCTAGGCCTTCTCCAGCCAGATCTTTATTTCCCCAGAACATTCTTCTTGTGACAATATTACGAGTCTCTCTCTCCACTGTTTATTTTTCCTAGATCTTGTGCTTATATATCCTAAATAAAATGTTGAAATTAAAGCATTTGGAGAGGACAGGAGTTTTTGTTTTTGTCGGTTGTTAGCACAGGGTGATGTAAGGCAGGCAAATGTTTGACTGCATTGATGCCTTTCCCCAGCTCCCCACTGCTTGCATTATCATCTGAGCTCTGTCTCCTGTTAGATCAGCGGTGGCATTAGATTCTCACAGGATCATGAAGCTTACTGCAAAATGAGCACATGAGGGATGAGGTTGCAGGATCCTTTTGAGATTCTAACATAATAATAATAATAGAAGTAAGGTGCTTGAATGTGGGGGTGTTGGTCAGGGGTATGTATGAGATGGATAGACAGAGATAAGGGACTACTGAGGTCACAGCCCAAAACCTCCTGGAGTTCATGGTTAATGGTTAGAAGATTTCCTATAGGGCCACAATCCATGTATGATCAAACACATTGCCCTAAGGAACGAATGCTCTGGCCCTCTCTTCCCCATACTTCCATTTATTACTTAGCCCTAAGGTCAGTCATGTAACAGATCACCCTGACCTTCCCCTGCCCCCCACATGAATTGCTGCACATGTGTCCTTCTTTTGTCCTTTATCCTTGCTTCTCTGACCTACCAATAGAAAACCACAGAAGCTTCAGTTTGGGACTATTTTTCCCTGTGATTCTCACACCGAGAAGTCTTGGTTAGGTAGCCCCATATTGGAGGTGAAACCAGACACCAAGTAATCTCTCATTTTCAGTTGTGAACTGTGATACTCAATAAATGTAATGTGCTTGAGCCATTTCAAAAAATGAAACTGGTCTCAGGTGCCAAAAAGACTGGGGACTACAGATGTAAGGGGCTCTGAACCCTGTAGTCGTAGGGAGCTGTGGATATTGGTTTAATTTTGGATGGATTTCCCGGGGACTTTCAGCTGATTGTGGTTCTCTCTGGGTGTCAAGGGCTCTGTCTTAGGGCTTGAAACATCCTGAAGGCCTTTCTTGTTCTATCCTGAACCCACAGTATGTAAAATACTGCTTTACACACTCTCTGGGGACAGGTAATCCAGCCTCTTTATGAGCACTCCCAGTGACAGCCCATGTAGCCTTGGGATAGCTCTGCTTTTAAAGGAACTATTGCCTTTTAAGTCTTCCTGGAAAGAACTTGTATTTTCCATTCATTGGTTTAGTTTGCACCAGTGGGACTGCACAGAAGGGCTGTTTCCTTTTTCTCAGGCAAATCTTTTCTCAGCATCACAGCTAGATGAGCCTTTTAATCTAAGCCAACCGCTCCCATTCTTCTGCTCCCTTTGCTGTTCTGCAAACACCGAGTCTGATGAAGCCCGTCATGATGTGGCCCGGCCATCTCACTGACACATCTTTGTGCTCTCTCCCCTCACTTCTGCTGCCACAGTGACTGCCTTGCTGTTCCCCAGACACAGCAGACACTAGGACCTACTCTACTTGTCCCCTCTGCCTGGAGTGGCCCTTCCAAGGACCTCCCTGACCTCCCTGAAGGCTTTGCTGCAGTCCGATCCTCTCCGCCATGCCAGTTCATCACGCCCACTCTGCCTGTGCCCCACCCAGTCCCCCTTGCCTTCCTCTCGGCCTGGGTTCCTGGAAAGCAAAGCGAAGGCACAGCCTTACGTGCTGGTGCTTTTCGGAGGAGTACGATTCCAGGAGTTGGGAATGAGGAAGGAGGGCAAAGTGGCCCAGAGAAGGAGCACTTACAAAGTTGCCCACCTCTGTGGAAGACTTTTGTTTGGTCCCCACTGCATGGAACCATCTGAGAAGGTTAAAACCATCCGAGAGGAAATAAATCTCAAGAACCTCCAGTTTGTGATGTATGTGTGTGTGTGTGTGTGTGTGTGTGTGTGTGTGCGCATATATATATATAAATATTTTTTTGTATTCCCCTTCTCATTGTGTTGCTTTTTTTAAAAGAAAAAAAGATTTTCTGATACCAGGAATCAAACTCAGGTCCTTGTATTTGCAAGGAAGGCGGCAGAACCACTGAGCTAAATCCCTGGCCCTCATTGTGTTGCTTTCTGAAGGCCACTCTGACTTCCTCTTCCCCTTGGAATAAAGTCATGGGGGTATACAGGAGCTCTGTGTCTCCCCGACTCCCAACCAAAGGACACTTGGCCCAAGAGAGGTTGGTCACAATTTCAATGACGAGCAGAGTGATAAAAGCACCAAAAACAGATGGAGCACATTACTTCTAGTGTGGCCCCTGGTGTGATTGTAAAATAGTCCCCGCCATTCACATCCCCAGTGTGGCTAAATGTTGACCTTTACTGCCTTCTTCTCTATGCATTTTCTTTTTTTAAGAAAATCAGTCGATTCCAACATACTTTTCTAATACATTCTCTTATGTGCTCAGGTCAGCTGCTTTCTCTGTGCACCTTGACCAAAGGAGTCTGACGGGTGCACCAAGTCCCTCCTCTCTGGACATGCTGCATGGTGGGCTCTGATGATGGGAGCCCAGATCTGGGCCCTATCTGTCCTGTCTGCCTAGATTTTCCTCATAGCTTTCCTTCCTATAATTCTGTAGGCTGGTTTACACTTCCTACCCCCAAGTGTACATAAATTGTGCTCCCCCAGGCCACTAGCAGGCACCTCACAGCTACATATAGTGTACACATTTTTTGGTTCTGGGATTGAAGCCAGTGCCTCTTATATATTAGGTGAATGCCTTACCACTGAGTTGCATGTCCAACCCCAGTGTATATTTCAATACCTTATTTTCTTAGCCTCTCAAGGGAGTTCAACATTAAGGACCAACTACAAACATTTTCCTTTGATTTCAGGAACGTCTTGTTCCCCATTTGCCTTTATCTTTCTGGTCCTTCCTATCTTCTTTATAGGTTTCTCTGCTTTGCCTGTTTCCTGCATGTTGGCCTTCTTTAAGGCCCTGTCATAAATCTTGTTCTGTTTGTTTCTCTTTCATTTGTCTGTATCCCATGGATGACTTTATACATCTTATATATTGAAAATATTTTCAATTTGTATATTTGCTGATAGCTGAAGTTTGTGTCTCTTGGGCTGAATGTATATTCTTTTGGGCTCCTCCTCCTGTCCTCCCACCTTCCTCCTCCCTTTCTTCTCCTCCTCTTCCTCTCCCCCCTCCTCACAGAGCTGTCCATCAAACCATCATGCACACCAAGCAAGCACTCCATCACTGAGCTGTCCCCAGCCCATCTTCTGAGCTTCTTATACTGAAGTCTTCCTTCTCACTTGATATTTCCCTTTGATTATTTCACAAGCACTTTGAAGTCAATATATCTGAACTTGTTGAAAAATTCATTCTCACTGATGATTCATGACATGATTTTAACAAAGTTCAATTGTACAATTCAGTGATATTAAGTACATTCATATTATCATGTAACCATCAGTACCATCCACCTAGGATATTTAATCATCCTAAACAGAAGCTCTCTTTCCATCCAACATTTATTCCTCACTACATTCTGCATACAGCTTGAATTTCCCTCCCAAGGATTCATATGTTGTCATCTTGGTCTTCAGAGCGGAGATGTTAGAAGGTGCTGGCACATTCAAGAGGTCGAACCTAATGGAAGATACTTAAGTGATTGAAGTTCTGCCTGTGGAAGAGTTTAAAGTACTTCTTGTGGAACTCTGAGCTAGCTTTCAAGAGAGTGAATTGTGATAAGAGCAAGGATGACCCCCAAATCTCTTCCTTTGGCTTCCTGTCTGGTAACATGATCTTTTTTTGTATCTGTCTTCTAGCATACATCATGAGATTCTCATCAGAGTTGAGTTGATGCTAGCACCATGCCCTTGAACCTCTGAAACTGTGAGCTAAATAAACTTCTTTTTGTTTATAAAGTTATCCAGCCTGATGTATTTTATTACAATAATTGAAAACAGTGTACTTTGGATCCCCCTTCATTTTGTAGCACCCTCATGGTGATGGCCAGTCGACTTTCTGCCTCTCCGCCTCTGATGATTGGAACTAAGTTTAATACATGTTATTCTCCTCATATTTCTTTCTTTCTTATTTCTCTGAGTTTATGGGTACATTTTAGGTATACAGTACAGTTACATTCATCATTGGGATCTTGTACATTTACATGACAGGTCTTGGTTCTCATTTTTCCCTTTTTTTCCTGCCATCCCTTCACCCCTCCTCCCTTCCCTATTTACAAATACTTTATTTCCATTTTTTCATTTTCCCTTATTTCCTTTCCCCTACCCTTTCTACTTCCCCTACACCTTTCTTCCTATTTCACATTGTCAATTATACCATTAGGATCTTATGTACAGTTATAGTTATAGTTTTTCACACCAGAGAAACTATTCGGTATTTTTGCATGTGTGACATATTTATTTCACTTAAGAGTGTATCCTCAGTATGCATCCATTTTCCTATGAATGACTAATTTCTCCTTCTTTATGGCTATGGATGACTTTATACATCTTATATATTGAAAATATTTTCAATTTGTATATTT